TTAAATTAAATTAAATTAAATTAAATTAAATTAAATTAAATTAAATTCGGGCACCTGGGTGGCTCAATTAGCTGTCTGACTCTTGATCTCAGCTCAGGTCTTGATCTCAGAGTTGTGAGTTCAGGCTCTGTGTTGGTCACTCTGTGTTGGGCACTGTGTTGGGCACTGGGCTCTGTGTGAAGCCTACTTAAAAAAATTAATTAATTAACTAATTAATTAAAGTTATCTTTTAAAAGGCAAGACTGTCATTCATATTATATACAAATGTAACAAGTTCTGGCAAGTCTGTGGAACCAAACTATCTGTGGAGTTGAGGATGGGTAGAGTAAATTATGTCCACCCTTAAATATCTTAGCATCTAGCTAGGTAGACAAGATTCTCATCCGTTAAAAGTAAACAATAATAGAATGTAAGAGTTGAAATAACAGATCTTCAGAACTGACACATCCAGTGTGTGAGGCCTCCTGAGAAATTGTTCCTGCTTAAAAAAAAAAAAAAAAGACCTTTTTGAAATCTGCCACAGACATCCACTGGGTCGGAGTGTAACATCTTTGTGCCTCTTTAGAAGTCTTTTGACAACGTCTATAAAAATTAAAAATACATAACTTTTGGCCTAGGCATTCTACTTCTAGAAATTTATTTTACATATATACTCTCACAGATGAGTTAGAAAATATTTATAATGATGTTCACTGCAGCACTGCTTATTATACGTTGGAAACAGCTAAATGTCTCTCAAAGGATTCTCAGAGAAATCCTCAGAGAAATGGGGCAATACTGTGCAACCATCAAGAATACTGTGCATATGGAAGTGCTTATGTGGAAAGTGTCCTCTCATACTACACAAAAAGAGCAGGCTAGAGAATAATATGTGCAAAAAAAACTCATATGAAAAATGTTGTAATATGTAATATGTACCAACAATCCCACTTCTGGGTATATACCCAAAAGAATTGAAAGCAGGGTTATGAAGAGATATTTGTACACTCATGTTCACAGTGGCATTATTCACAATAGTTAAAATGTGCAAGTAACTCAAATGTCTATTGATGGATGAATGGATCAGCAAAATGTGGCCTGTCCACACAATAGAATATTACTAAACATTAAAAAGGAAGGAAATTGGGGCACCTGGGTGGCTCAGTCAATTAAGCATCCGACTTTGGCTCAGGTTATGATCTCACCGTTCATGACTTTGAGCCCCGAGTCGGGCTCTGTGCTGACAGCCCAGCGTCTGGAGCCTGCTTCAGATTTTGCGTCTCACTCTCTCTCTCTGCCCCTCCCCTGCTCGTGCTCTGTCTCTCTCTCAAAAATAAATAAACTTAAAAAAATAAATAAATAAAAAGGAAATTCTGAAACATGCTACAACATGGATGAAACTTGAAGACACTGTGCTAAATGAAATAAACCAGTCACAAAAAGATAAATACTGTACGATTCCACTTATATGAGATACCTTGGATAATCAAACTCAGAAATCAGGTAAAATGCTGGTTCCTGAGAGAAGAAGGGCAGATAGAAAATTGTTTGATGAATATAGTTTCCATTTTGGAAGATGAAAAAGTTCTGGACTTTGTAAATGTAAATGTAAACTTTGACAATGTAAATGTACCTAATACTATGGAATTCTACACAAAATAGTGATAAACTTCATTGTGTGTATTTTATCACAATTAAAATTTTTTAAATGAGTTGTATTATGTATCTGTACATGTATAGGAATTTCTGGAGAGTCTATTAACAGTACTTGCTTTTTTTCATTGTAGATCATTTTACTATTTTAACATTTTTATCATTTATGAGCTGTCGATTTAAATTTTTTTCATTTTTTTAATGTCTATTTGAGAGAGAGAGAGAGAGAGAGAGCATGAGCATGCACACGTGCAAGCAGGGGAGGGGCAGAGAGAGAGGGAGAGACAGAATCCCATGGGGGCTCTGCACTGACGGTGAAGAGCCTGCTTGGGATTCTCTCTCTCTCTCTCTCTCTCTCTCTCTCTCTCTCTCTCTCTCTCTCTCCCCCCCCTGCCCTGCTTGTGCACTCTCTCTCTCAAAATACATAAACTTTTAAAAAACAAACACTTAAATTGTTTGATAAACATCAGTAATAGCCTTTTTTGGTTGCAGTGTGACCTAGTGACAAAAGAGTACAGTAAGTGCTGTGATTTCCCAGAAATATTATATGAATATATGTTGGCAAAGAGCAGTGAGTGAAGACACAAAGATGAGTACGTTTTTCCTCAGTACAGAGAACAATCCAGCTGGAGCAGGTAGGGGAAGTTCTGTCCGGTTGAAGAGATGTTAAAGTGTAGGGAAAAAAAGAGTGTCCTTGAGTTTTCAGCATTTCAACTGCATGTCTCTCCTTTTTCTTTCAAACCGCCCCGTTCCCAATAGCAGAGTGCATTTTATCCTTGTCTAGTACCGGCCTTCCTCCTTTGTTAGATGTCTGCATTTAGAGCCGTCTCTAGTCTGATGTGTGGTCGTTTAACATGAACAGAACATGTGTTTTGTATGGTTCATCTGGGTTTGTTTACAAGCATTTTTATCTGGCTCATAAAGTTAGTGTGGTCAGATTAACATCTGCCACCACTTCTACTGCTCTGCTCTGGCTGACAGCTTGGGAGAGGAGTGCTTTCTTCACTCATTTCCTGGTCTGGAGGGCCTCCCATCTCCCCCCAGTTCAAACTTGACCTCTTCCATGAGGCTTTTCCTGACAGCATCAGTCCTCAGCATTATCTCTGTCCTTCACAGCACTTCACATTCCACTCAACAAGCAGCACACATAGCATCTAGCCAAATGTGACCCTGTGTCCATATTTCCATTTTTACATATTTATGCATCCTTGTATCCTCTGCCAAACTCCTTGAGTTTGGTTAGCTCCTATCCAGGCACAAGGCCCAGTATCAGGAGACCAAGAGATGTTGAGAGGCCCATTAAGAGGAGATCGGATGTTCTGAATTCCAAACCTTTGGTAACAGGTGTCCACCACTAGGTGGTGGTGGTGATCAGGCATCTCCTTAGGCGTTCACTACCTCAGCGTTCTTATCTTTTAAATGAAGATGTTGTCTGCTTTGCTTTTGAAAACGGAAGAACATGACCCCGGGCTAAAAGTAGAAGAACCCACGTTTCATAACTGTCAGCTTCACGTAACAGCAGTGTACTCCTTAAATTACTTTTCTGGACCTTATTAAAAGGAGGAGGTCAAACTAGATCAGAGGTTTTCGGAGCCTGGATGCCAGGGTTCTTGGCATCCTTCCAGGGGACCAATAGGTCAAAACTATTTGCATAACAGTATTCAAAGCTATTTCTTTTCACTCAATTAAAATTTATTAAAAAGCAAATATATGCATCTTACATAAAGTCTCTTTAAGGTCCTAATAATTTTTAAGTATAACGGGGTCCTGAGCCCAAAAAGTTTGAGAACCACTGAACCAGGTTTCTCAGAACTTCTGAGGCCAGACGTTTCCTAGATACCAAGAAGAAGGTGGTGTTAAAGGCCTGGTCCCAGCTCTGAAAGAGTTTACGAGTCGCGGGGCGGGGGGGTGGGGGGGTGGGAACGAGACAAATGGTTATATTAACAAGATAATTTGTGAGAGTGGTAAGTTTCACGAAGTCACACAGCAAGGCATCTGATGCCTGCACAGTGTGCTCCGGAGCACGGGAGAGCAACACTCAACAGCACACCGCCCGGGGTTCACAACGGAAACTCCCTGGAGGCCCTCAGCCCTCGGGGTTGCCCCAGCGAGCCGAGGTGCCGGGAGAAATGCGCCAGAGCGCTAGCGTCATGTGACGTCACTGGGCCGCGCCAGCCAATCCGGGCGGTCCTTGTCGTAGGCACCGCGGTGGCCCGCGGCCTGCAGGCGGCGCTGTGGGCCCGCCGGGCGGCCCCACAGAGCCGCCATAGCAGCCCGCCTACCCCGACTTAACGTCTCCGCTGTCGGCTCCGCGCCGCCGCCATGGCCGACGTGGAAGACGGCGAGGAACCCTGCGCCCTGTCCTCTCACTCCGGGAGCGCAGGCTCCAAGTCAGGAGGCGACAAAATGTTCTCTCTCAAGAAGTGGAACGCGGTGGCCATGTGGAGCTGGGACGTGGAGTGCGATACGTGCGCCATCTGCAGGGTCCAGGTGATGGGTAAGCGCTGCACGCGAGGCCGGGGCCGAACTACGGCCTCCGCGGGCCGCTTCTGGGCGTGGAGGACGGGCGAAGGCTGGGAGAGACCCCAGTCCAGAGGAGTGGGGGCGGGGGTGCCGGGAGCCACCGGTGCTGCTGCTGGCCCGAGGGCTGCTGCTGCCGCCGCCTGGGGCTCAGCAGGCGCCCAGCGCCCGGACCTGGTATTCTAGGGATAGAAACGGGCAGTGAGCTGAGGAATTAAGGTAATTTCTGGTAGTGATGGGTGTGGCCAAGGAAATAAAACTGGATGATTTGTTGGCCGCTGGGAGAAGCCACTTGGGTTTGTTTGGCCAGCTCCATGTCTAAAAGCAGACCGCAAAGGGGTCAGGGTAAAGGCCCTGAATAAGTAGGGCACTTTAATGGTTGTGGTCACGCACCAAAGTGATGCTCTGGAGTCATCCTCCACAGAAACGACATCCTCAGTTCGCTCTTGAGAGGCGAAAGGAAGAAAATGTTCCTAGCCATTGCCATTTCCGAATTAGCGACTGCTGTTCTGCGGGCTTTTAACTCTGGATGTTTCAGGATGGGTCAGATGGCACTCGCTTGTCTTGAAGGGGGATACAGTGTGGTTCACGAATATTTTTAAGGTTCATGGGAGTTGAAGAATGTAAGCCCTTTATTCAGAAACATAAAACTTTTTCTGGCCCCTCCTATCATAGGATGCCATTTTCTGAAGATCCTTCCCTGCTCTGAGTCAGGCCTTTGTGGAGAGCCCTGTTGTACAAATAAGTCTTAACTTCTTTCTGTGATATTTCGAATAAAACTACTGGGCCACGCGAAACCTTTCAGAACAGCTTCATCCTTTTATATTTTATATCCTGTCTTTTTTAAGATCTCAGACCACCTTGAAAAAGAGATGCTATTCTAAATGCCAGTTATATTTTTAAACAGAGCATTTAAAACTACTGAGAGAGAATCTTAATTTTGTTTCTTGGGGGTAGGTGAAAACTGAGGTTGTATAGCTTGAAAACTTTGTGTCTTGCTCTGAAAAATGACAGAATTGGAGAAAATAAACAGAATTTCTCTCTCAAGGGATGGAATTTAAACCTACCAGAATCAAGAGATTTTTTCAATTTACACTTTTTAGTACACACTTGTTTTTTATTCATGAGGACTTGCTTCAAAGAGGATTTACAGCAAAGGGATTCAGATTTTTTTTACTTTTGAAAGAACTTGATTTCAGACATGATCCACTTGTTTTGCATATTAGGTCTTAAAAGTACCTAGTTTATTGGCCTGCAATACAGCCCCCTTACCCCACCCCTTACTTAAGAACTAGAATCATAATTTCCAGTTTGGGTGGCATTGTTAACTTATCCAGGCAACTTAATCTTTTCTTCTTTTGCAAGACAAGCTTTGCTAAAAATTTTATCCCCTAAATATCCTTTAGTTCAAAATGAAGAATGTTCCTGAAAAGTGTGTTTTATATTTCTACCCAAAGGAAAATTTTAGATCTGTAGGTAGAAATGCAGTTCAGAGTAATGGTTGACATCTTTGCAACACATAAACTTTACTGGGATATTTGGAGTAAGTCAAAATATGGGCTATAAATGTTTCACATTCACATTAGCTTTCTAATTATAGCAAGTGTTCTGCTACTGTGGATTAATTTTGCAGATTTGCAACAGCTGTACTTTGAGTTCAGCAAAGTGTTCTGGACTAGACCTTTGTATTTTCTTTATGAGGTGTTAAAATCCATTTAGTGGTCAGGTGACAGCAGAAGGAAGTTTGTTTTTCAGACTTCCCAAGCGAACCCTAGTTAGCATCATTCTAAAAGGAGTTACTGTTATTGTACTCCTTAGAAATGTTTTGTTTTAGATTTTAGGAATATCGTGAAAAGAATTTTTTTCTTTGATCTAAAACTTTAGGACTTTTTATAGATTTAGGTTGGGTTTTGATAATGAGTCTAAATCAAATGTCAGTCATAATCCCAAGATTCCTAGATTCTGCAAAAGAGGCCACTTAATTCCTTAATTTTTCAAATTCCTCTCATACACCTAAATGATTTGTTACGACTTCTTGACCCAAGATTTGCCTGTCAGCCCATTCTGATGCGGTTAACAGTCTCTGGTTTCCTTCATTCTGAAAGGAGCAGATGGCACAGTGAACAAGTGTTGAAGAAGAGGAAAATAGGTTTGCTAGTACTGCTGCGTTCTAAAGAGCCAGAGTAACCCTTCATGGCTATTTATGTTAACTTGGACATTTGACATACCTTCTGGAGTCTTGTTTTCCTAATTTGTGAAAGAGGTAGTTGGGTACACAGACTGTAATTCTGTGATTATACAGAACCAGAGCTGTGTCTTCACCCTTATGTCATGATCCTTATGATATTTAGTTGTTTGCCTGCCTACCTCCCCATTTCCTGGTGAGACCAGGGACCCAGACTTGGTCATTTTGGTGTCCCCAGTGCATAACTCCATATACAGAGCAGATACTCAGTAATTGTGGGATTGAAGAAAGCCTCAGGAGGCAGTGGTTGTTTTCAGTCCACACCGAAGTGGCCAGGGTGGTGTGTTTTTTTAGGGTAAGAGCATGCAGAGAGGAGCAAACAAATGCCTGAGCATAATCCAGTGTTAAGAAAAGGACCAGGCTTCAGCTCCACCGTGTATCTATTTTTACAGAATTCTTTTTCTCTAATTTATGTTAAAAACTATTTTGTTGTTGTTGTTGGTTTGAACTTCCTTTTACCCATCTTGGACTCCTCTTCCAGCTAGTGAATGAATCCATTTCATTGGTCCCTAAAATATCCTATAGTACCTCCTTCATCAAGCAAATAGTAGTATAGATTAAATTTTGAAAACTAATGTACCCTTTAGGTTCCCATTCCTAAAATGCACTCCCAAGTAAATTATTAAAATGCATTGCCATTGTTGGATAAATGCTTTGGATTCAGACATATTTGTAGAAGGAGCATTTTCTTAAAAAAAAAAAAAAAGAGAGAGAGAGAGAATCTAGTATTTAAGAGGTTCTTTAAAAATTAATTTAATTTTTATATAGATCATACAGTCACAAAATTCAGAATTTTAAGAAACTATACAATGAAGACTGCTTCCCATACCATCTTCTCTTAGGTAGACTTTATTATCAGTTACTTGATTATTCTTCTAGAGTTTCTGTATGTGTGTACAGGCAAATACCAATTTATATGTATGGCTTACGTTTAAAAGGTGTCTTGAAAATAAGCTACCCCCAAGGTTGATCTATGTGAGCATGCCCAGTCAGCTTATAGGAACTTCTAATATAATGAAGTATGGCATAGTTTTCTCTGGTGGTTGAATCCACCTCGGGGACACCTTTTTATCAGAGCTGGTGAAAATAGAGGGTCGGTAACCCATGTGAAATTGCTCCTGGTCATAAGTAAATGAGTAGAGTGCCTTGCACTTTATTCATCTTTAAATAGTTATGTTTAGATGAGAGATAAATAGTTTGAATCTTTTATCTCCATCTCTAACCCTTTGGGCTTTTATTTGACTTTGAAGTGTCTGGGTTTTAAAAATTGCATTCTGAGCATCAGAATGAGAATTGCTATTTGTTTACTTTTAGATGCCTGTCTTAGATGTCAAGCTGAAAACAAACAAGAGGATTGTGTTGGTATGTTGTAATTTCATTCTCTTGCTTTTTCAACTGAAGGTTTTCTCTCAGTGGGGATGTTTGAATTTGTGATTAAGATTGACTTTATCAATACATAAAAATAAACTGTAAAGCAGTGATCTATTATTAATGTAAAATGTGTTAGTTCTCAAAAGGCCTTAATGGAACTAATCTGCAAGTTCTTTTATTGCCTGTAATTAAGAAGAATTGGTTATATATTCCAGACATGGCCATAGTAAATATTTGATAATCAACAAAGAAATAATTCTTTTCTGTTAAGAAAATTTTAAGGGATTACCAAAATGTCATTTAAATTTTAACTGTGTTATAGGTCAGATTTGGTAGGGTTTTATTCTAATAAAGCATTGCAGTTTTCAGTACTGTTATTATTCAGTATTTAACTTTTCAGCCAACATAGAAAAAATTCTAAGTGCTCTCTTTTGCAATATAGTTTGTATATGGAAATCTGTTGAATTTTGCTAATAGCCTGGGACTACAGAAGTTGTTTTAGGATAAATATTTTAAGCAGTTCAAAGGTTTTTATGTCCTAGTTCTTGAAGTCATCACTTCTAGATTGCTATGTATAAAAGCTTTTCTGAAAATGAAAGGTTAACTTTGTACTTTGTGTTTGCGTTGTTTATATATAGCTTTTTAATAATGATTTATTCAGTATTTATCAAATCCTGTTTCTTCCTCCTGAAACACAGTGATTTCCTTTTGCTTCCTACTCCCTGTAGCCAGTTTTCATAAGAAGTTGGTTATTTTTTTCTTTTTTTCCATGTTCTTTCATTGTTCTGTTATCATATAGGTCAAGCAAGGGACAAATAAAGCCCACATGTGAGATTGCATTTCAGATTATGGGAGATTGCCCTTGGTTTAAGAAATATTTAACTTGAGAATTGTGAGGTTTAGGGTACCTTTCTTTGATCACAGAAAGTCCTCTGTTTCTAGCCAGCCACTTTGAAAAGTTCATGTGTTTGTCACATGAGGAATTGCACTGCTTATGGATGACATCAACACTTCTAGAAAATAACTGAGTAGATGTACAGCTGATAATGTTTAGAAGTATGTCATCTATTTATAACAGATTACTATGAACTGAAAACTCATGTTGGTAAATAAAAATCAGGAGGATATTTTTCAATAAAATAAAGATCAAAAGGTCTCCAAGGTCAGTCTTTGACTGAGAAGGTCTGGGATCTAAGGAAGGCTCAAGTTCTTTAATCTCCTAACTTCAGGAAGACAGCATGTGGAGCTGTGTAGGGGCTGGGGGCCACCACATCACTCACAGACTCTAAACAATGATGAAAAAGTCCCCCAGTCACAGCGCCTCATCTCACTTCTTAAGTGTGGTTTACACAGGTAAGTTGTTATTTTCTTAATAGATAGAAAAAATGTTGACTAATTAGGCATCTTTATTCAAGATTATGAATCATGATTATTCTTCATAATATAAAATAACCTGTAATTTTGAGTTGGATAATTTAAATTAAAATATGTAATGTCAAATATTCTTTTTTTTTTTTTTCCTTTCAGTGGTCTGGGGAGAATGTAATCATTCCTTCCACAACTGCTGCATGTCCCTGTGGGTGAAACAGAACAATCGCTGCCCTCTCTGCCAGCAGGATTGGGTGGTCCAAAGAATCGGCAAATGAGAGTGGAGGCTTTCTTAGTGCATTTGTTTGGAGCCCTGGTGGATCTTGTTATCAAGTGCCCTACAAAGGCCAGAACACTCCAGGGAACTAATTCTTCAAATAGGAGGAGATGGCTCTGTGGTCCTTTGGTACTCATCAAAGGCATGGCTTAGCATTTTGTTTTATTTTCAGAAATTCTCTACAATTAAGAAGATAATTTATTAAAGATGGTCTTTCCTACCTCTGTGGTATGTATCCCACACACTGCTTAGAAGTGCTTTAAAGGAGGAGAGAGCTACAAATTTAATGACTTTATAATTTGCTTATTGGTATCCCGGGGGTTGTGGAAGTAGTTCCATTCAGAAGAGAACTTGTTGCATGCTTATAGTTGATCAGTTAAAAAAAAAAAAAAAGACAATGTTACAGAAACAAATAAAGTGCAGTTTAAAACCCAACTCTTATCCTTAATTTGTTCCTCATATTTATTTTTGGCTGGGAGGGAGTGATTCATGAAGTCTTTGTATGATATAATGAAAATTTTTAAGTTTGGACCAATGAACAGGGTAATAAAATTTAATCTTCAGGCATATGGAATTGTGGTTGTCTTTTAGGCTATTATCCTCTATCTTTGGTTCATCAAGAAAACCTAAATCTGCACTCACCTCACTGTCCAAGCATTGAATGGTAAAGAACAGAAGTATTTGTTCTGGTCAGATTATGTTGTAATTTAACTGTTTTAGGTGGAATGTTAATGAGGGGAAAATGTTTACCACTGTAGCACTGGGTCAAAAAGTTTATTTTATTACACAGTGTTTTAATAAATGGTTTATTCTGTTTACTTCATTTGAATTGTCATTATTACAATTTTTTAATTTTTTTTTAATGTTTATTTATTTTTGAGAGACAGAGACAGAGTGTGAGCAGGGGAGGGGCAGAGAGAGAGAGAGCAAGACACAGAATCTGAAGAGACTCCAGGCTTTGAGCTGTCAGCACAGAGCCTGACACGGGTCTCGAACTCACAAGCCGTGAGATCATGACCTGAGCCGAAATCAAACGCCCAACCGACTAAGCCACCCAGGCTCCCCATCATTATTACAATTTTATGTACAACTTTAAGCTTCATGTTAATAAGCTAATATGTCAAGTGAATGCTTTAATTTGAAAAAATATTCATATACTCTTATTTGGTAGTAATAAAATTTAAAGTTTATTACCTGGAAATGTGAAGTGTGAGAAAATACTTAAATTTTATCAAACTCATTCACATTTAATGGAGGTTATCTGGTAACAGTTTATGGACCACAAGTTTATTTTGAATTATTCCATAATAAAGGCCACAAGCTATGAATTTTGAAAAATAAATCTTTATCATTCACTTCTTCAGTTTGTCAATCTGAATCTTCTTATATCTAAGTGATGCAGATACATAAAAGAATGTTAAAATATAATTTAAAAACTAGAATTCATAGGCTTTCATATTGGTTTTCATATTTCATACTAATCTGATTTCTCTGGAAACTTGCTTTGGTATGCATTTTTTCACAGTTTACTGAGAAAATTAATTACCATATGGGGGTAAATAAAGCACCTTTTTATCCTATAATATTAAGTATAATACTATCAAGTTTCCCTAAACTTAACCATACGATTAACATAATCATATCTTACAGAAAACTGTGAATAGAGCTATAAGTACAGTCCAGCCAAGACTTTGAAGAGGTTTATGTAAGTTTACATATGGTGAATGTGTGTCTTCAGTGAACACCTGCTGAAACCACAGAGTTGAGGGGCAATATGTAAGTGCAGACTAGGAGGAATGAGACAAGTGGGAAAGTCACCCTGCTTAGATGTAGCGACTTCACTACTTCTGCCCCAAACCATGTATCACAACACATTCTATATATGCTTATTTTTTCAGGGATTTTCTTTCTTTCCTTTTTTTTTTTTTTTAATCTTTTTAATGTCTATTTATTTTTGAGAGAGACAGAGACAGAATGTGAGTGGGTTAAGGGCAGAGAGAGAGGGAGACACAGAATCCAAAGCGGGCTCTGGGCTCCAAGCTGTCAGTACAGAGCCTGATGCCCGTGGGGCTCGAACTCATGGACTGCAAGATCATGACTTGAGCCGAAGTCGGTTGCTCAATCGACCGAGCCTCTCAGGTGCCCCTTTTCAGGGATTTTCAGTTGAAGAAGAATCAATAGGGGCACCATGTTTCAGCTTAGAGAAGTAGTTGGAAAGAGTATTGGCTGCCATCTTTGTAGTTTATCCAGATCATTTTTCTTTTTTGTAAATTAATGACAGCAGTTTCAAATAATTTTTCTTTTGAGTTATACTTAAGCTTTTTAGTTTGATGTGTGTGTGTGTCCTTTTGCAAGTTCTGCTATTGAAGATGCTTTTCCAGGTCATATTTAATAACTTGCTTATATGGTTCATTTTGTAAAGTCTATTGAAAGATATGTGTATCCATTAGAAATGAATCTTCTTTTGCTTTCATAATCCTGATTGTGTAGTACATGCATATTAAATAATGAGATAAAAAGTTAATTACAATACACAAATATGTTTGACCACTTGAATGCTTGTCATTGTACAGTGAGCTATTTTAGCAGCTTTTGTTTGACATTTTTAAAAGGATATATCCATAAAATGTGAACCAAATATTTGGCTTTGCACTGAAGAGAAAATCAGTAAGAATGTCTAGTTATTTTAGTCAGTATGACAGAACGTAAATGCAGCATGAAGGATGGAGTCATAAGTAGATTTTCCACACAGCAAAACCACAGGCCCACTGCCGAACAAAGCTCTGTTTCTACTCCGCATCACCATCTGAGGGTGGAAGAGGAGGAGGGGCCGGGACAGAGCAGCACTGATCCTACCCATCCTGGGATGATATCAGCTCATCTGCATAGCCATCTGAAAGTTTAGCACATATTGTTTCATCAGAAAGACACACTGTGACATTTAATTATGAGTTCTAAAGCAAAAGTTACGCATTGAACAGACTTTTCTTTCCATTGGATTAAACAATACTGAATTTTCTTTTGCTAGTATAATGGAAACATGTTGGTCATCTTCACCTATTTAATTTTCCATCAATGCAAGGTGCATTCTTATATCACAAGTAACATCTAAATCAGTAAATCTTACCCTCTCAAACCCATTCCTTTTTATAAACTATGTCCCCATTACTATCCTGAAATTCATAACTAACACATAATTAAAGTGTATATAATAATTGTAATATGTAAATATAAAATAACAATTATAAAATACAAGTAAAAGGAAAGTATATTCTAATTCATTTGCATTTCAGTATGTATATACTTGGGTGTAATTACACCAGGAAACATGAAGAAGCAGGCTGATCCACATATGGATGTGTGTGTGTGTGTGTGTGTGTGTGTGATCACCATATATAGACCGCAGTAAGGTAGACTGTTGTGATTTAGTAACATGGGAGCATTTTCATTGATAGTAAGAACTACCCCCTCAAATGGTAGATCACACTTAGTGTACAGTCTTCTGATTTACATGTTAGTTAGTTGCATGGTTGGAAATTTCAATGACGTAGTTATTGAATATTCACTTGGCAGTCTTCTAGGCATAAGGAATAAGCTCAAAATTGTTTTATTTAACTGAAGCTAATGTAGAAGTCTTTAGGGTCAGAGAAAAAAAAATGTTCCTTTAGAAGTTTAGTAGATCTCTGATAATAAATGTAACTTTTTAAAAATGTTTTCTGCAGAATTTTTAACAGGGAAGCACTTTTTTTTTTTTTTTTTTTTTTTTTTTTTATCTTTCAGAGAGAGAGAGAGAACATACAAGCAGGGAGGAGGCAGAAGGAGAGAGAGAGATTCTTTAAGCAGGCTTCATGCTCAGCGTGGAGCCTGACACGCAAGGTTCAATCCCACGACCCTGGGATCATGACCTGAGCCAAAATCAAGAGTCTGATGCTCAAACAGACTGAGCCACTCAGGTGCCCCTGTTTTTCTGCTTTTTAAAGTTATTGCCAAGAGCTAACTTTTCAGGATAATTCTCTGAAAAGAAAGTTAGAAATTTTCCATGGTTAATTTAGTAAGCTCAGTTAAAAACATACATATTTAGAGGAAAAATACTGCTGGTTTGAATATAAGGAAGATTGGAATTAAAGTATAAATGTATTTCAAATATTTTTAAATATAAAATTTAAATATATTTTATATTGAGCATTTGATAAAACACATGACAAATATTTGTAGAAGAGTTCCTCTTCAGCCATTTTATGTCATTTCCATTTCTGCCATGGTTAGGTTTTGTTCAACAAAATAATGTCTGACAGGAAAAATATCTTCTCTGCATTTTGACGCTCCACTTAATGGCTGAGAGTGGACCCTAGAGCCAGGATACCTGAATTTGAATCCCAGCGCCTCCGCTTGTGTGACCTTGAGAAAGTTACTTAGTTTTCTCCTATACAATGTAAATAACAATAATATCTCCCTCACTAGATTGTTTCGAGAATTGAAGACTACATGAATTAGCACACATGTAAAACTCTGAGAATAGTTAAGCGCTACTGTGACTTCGTTTTAGTCAATTTTGGAAGCTCCTTTAATAGAAGTGGCACTTAAAAAATAATGTATTTTTAGTTACGGGGTAGAGCACTCTTCTTAACTGTTCTCAATAAACATTTTGTAAGAAAAAGTTAATTGTTGTAAACATAGGTTACTGGTCGCACTGTGAGCTTTTGTGAAGGGTTGTAATGAGGCCTTTAATGACCTGCCTGTCACATTTATTTCTAATCATGGGGTCAACATGATTTCCAGATTCTATAATAAGAAAAGGTTTTGTAGGATGCCTGAGTGGCTCAGTTGGTTAAGTGTCTGACTTTGGCTCAGGTCATGATCTCACAGTTCATGAGTTCAAGCCCTGCATCAGGCTTTCTGCTGTCAGCACAGAGCTCACTTTGGATCCTCTGTCCCCCTCTCTCTGTGTCCCTCCCTCATGTTCTCTCTCTCTCAAAAATAAAATAAACATTTAAAAAAAAAAGAAAGAGGGGCACCTGAGTGGCTCAGTCATTTAAGCGTCCGACTTCGGCTCAGGTCATGATCTCCTGGGCTGGGTTCGAGCCCCATGTTGGCTCTGTGCCGACAGCTCAGAGCCTGGAGTCTGCTTTGGATTCTGTGTTTTGCTCTCTCTTCCTACCCCTCCCCCATTTTGTCTGTCTGTCTTTCTCTCTGAAAAATAGATAAACATTAAAAAAAAATTTTTTTTTAAAGAAAGAGAAGGTTGTATGGGGTGCCTGGGTGGCTCAGTCAGTTGAGCAGCCAACTCTTGATTGATACTGGCTCAGGTCATGATCTCACAGTTGAGGTGAGCCTCCAGGCAGGCTCTGTGCTGGACATGGCGCCTGCTTGGGATTCTCTCCTTCTCCCTTTACCCCTCTCCCCCGCTCATGCTCTCTCTTTCTTTCTCAAAAAAGGAAAGAAAAAAAAAGGTTTTGTAAATATTGACCTCTCACTTTAATTTTAGGTTTTCCATCTCACTAGGAATATTTTATTGACTTGTTGATAAGCATATGGGGTGCATTTTTTGACCACTTGATTTTGCCAGATACCCATATAGCTTAGAAAATGTACCTTTTTTTAAACCCTCAATTTTCATCTTCATAGTCTTTCAGAGTAGTAAGTTATAATCAACTTGCTGCCTTCTCTTGTCCATGCACTCAGTAAACCTGAGTCAGTGATCAGAAAAGGACTTGCTTTTCCTAACTTGGCTGCAAGCAAGCTTTCCCTGAGCAAGTGTAGCTGTGGTGTGGAATGGTAGAAGGATTGCAATTTTGGAGCCACTCAGCCTGGCCTGGAATCTTG